TGGCCAATACCCGATAATCCATCAGTATGCGTTTGTGGGAGCTTGTTTACAGTGGATCACGCGATGATCTGCCAGCGTGGAGGCTTAGTCATTCAGCGTCACAATGAAATACGCGATCTACAGGCCGAGCTGCTTGACATGGTTTGTTACGATGTGCAGGTGGAACCGGCTTTACAACCTATTACAAGCGAAGAATTTCCCAGAGGGACTAATCAAGCCCCTGACGCACGCCTCGACGTCCACTGTAGGGGTTTCTGGGAGCAACAGAGGGCTGCCTTTTTTCGATACAAGGGTGAGTCACCCCAATACAGACTCATACAGAGATCTTAGCCCCAAGGAGATTTACAGGATTCATGAAAATGAGAAGAAGCGAAAATACAACTCCCGTGTAACAGAAGTAGAGCAAGGCACTTTCACCCCACTGGTATCTACAACGACGGGGGGATGGCTGACGAATGCCTGAGGTATCGCTCAAGATTAGCCGAGCTATTATCAGCAAAAAAGCAAGAGGGTTATGCCACAACAATTTCATGGGTCAGAGCGAAAGTGTCATATGCAATTTTGCGGAGCGCGCTCTATGTCTAAGGAGATCAAGAACCCCGAGAAGGAGGAACTTAGACATTAAAGACAGGGATCTGGAAGTAGAGAAGGGTCGAGCAAGACTTCCTTAAACTTATCAGTTATAGATTATTTTCATTATTTTTATAGTAAATTTTTCTCATTATTCTTTTGCGTTGAACTTTTGAAGACTTTGCATTTCCTTTGTCAAGAGACTTAAAGTAAGATATAGTCTACCTAAACAGCACACTATAATTTTAGTATTCATAGCCATATAATTATGTAGTTTAGGTTAGTGATATTTTTCCTCAAAAGGAGAATTGTAACTTGCAACATTTTGTTTTGTACACTTTCATGTTAGATTCAATAAAGGTTATTTCTCGTTTATTTAACAGTCAGTCACTCATAAAACGCATCGTCTTCAAAGACCTCGTCATCAAATTCATCAACATCATCAGGGACATCAGGAAGATCACAAGCTTTATTAAAAGCCTCCACGTCTTTTCTCACATACAGTCAGTGCCTTGCATTTCTTCTGACAGCCATTCTAATGAATCCATTTGCACTCCCATGTCCACGAAAACATGTGGCTATGATTTACTTTGGAGATCAGCTGTGTCCTATTTTGATCTTGGTAGTCTCCTTCTGTCCTTGGCAGAGCTCCAAGCCTTCACTGACCTCTCGATAAGCCCTTTCGAATCGTTTCTTCCATTAGCTGGCCCATTGATGGAAACTTGTAGCAACGATTGGAGCATGTCAGTTTTTTAAGGTTGATCTAAACCCTTTTTTGACACGTTTCACACAACTGGCACCCCAAGAGCAAGAGAAAAAAACACGTGGCGGCAAGAACGTGTCGAGAACGTAACACATTTTCTCTTGAACTAACTGCACTGCCTTGAGAAAATAAGACAACGGAACTCTCTGCTCTGATGTAACTGGAACGTATACTAGCCCGGTACGACTGGTACGTATTTTTGCATAACGAGTAAACGAGCGAGAGGGAGACCCAATTAACGTTGCAAGTTTGTAGTTAGCAAATCGCCGACTTTTTTGTGCATTTCTTTTTAAAGTTAAACAACGACAAGTCCATGTGTGACAACTACCAGGCCACATGCATTTTTGATATGTTAATAAATTCGCTTAGGCATCATCCCAGTGGTCGATTTGAAACCCAAATGGTGATTTGTTCAGTTTAACATCATTTTACCTTGAAGCGGAGCAAGAAGAAAAGAAGGAATTCAGCTTTCCTTATTTGTCCACTTCTCCTTTCCGTTTCTTTGATGACATATTCATGCAGAACCAGAAACTCCGAACACAGGAGAATTCGAGTGAAACGAACACTACGTAAAAAGCGCGCGCTTATAGCAAGATGACATTGTTGAATATTACGCGTTTTCAGTCAGCCTCACCGGTGATTATATAGTCATCTCACTTAAAAAGGTAAAAAGAGTTTGTTTTAATAAACTATTGGTTTGTTTTTAAATTCACAATTTTGTCATTTGATTTATTTTTACTTTCTTATGTTTTGGTTTTGTGTCAAAGTAGCCGGGACTCAGACTTGCAGTAGCCAGGGGAAATCCCCGGCCCCCGGCCCTGAGTGACAGCCCTTATTAATAAAATAAATTTCTTCGTTGTCGGCAATGTTTCTCAATCAACGCCGGAGTTTGTATTTTCACTTTTTCCTTGTTGTTATATTTGTTAATTGCTTCCGAATCTGAAACAGCTGCCTCAGCTGCAAACGAACAGGATCTTGCCACAATATAACTTTCCGACCTCAAACTCAAGCGACCATTGTTTTAGTTCTCTGGACAACACTGCAACGTCTTTTGGGGCGTGATTGCAGATCGAGGAAAACTGTTTGAGGACGGTGGATTTTGGAATGATGGAGCACAATAAAATTGAAAATATAAATTGAAATTATAAATTGAAGTATTGATATATCTAAGTTATGAAACATGTAAGACACGTTGAGGTGCCTAATTCATCCTCCCTGTAAGAAAGAGGAAAGTTTATAAGCAAATGAGAAACTGAGGCTGATGATTGCTGAACTTAAAGCTGGCAAAATCACATCTGCATCTATGTCAGGGAACATATCAATAACATATGTTATTGAAAGTGACAGTGGTAAATCAGCCTCTTCCGTTTATTTGTCTTTTTTTTCAGCGGCTCAACGAGTCATTTTATCTAGTGAATATGATCTAATAAATAAAAGTACTGATTATGAATCAATCCTTAGGATGGTAAACATGAATACTTTAGAACATAGACGTATTGAACAATCTTTGATAATNACTTTCAAGCAATAGCGCCCCAACAGGATACCTGAGTATCAACTGAAAACCATAACAGGAATATCTCGAGTAGAACTTTTCCGCGATGAAAATACTTTATCCGCTAAGGACAAAGTTATGCTCTCGTACCAGCCAGTTAATCGCTTATGTAAGCGTAGTATGTCTGTATGTCTGGTTAAGGTCAACACCCATATCATTTCCCTTCACCATTTCTTTAAAATAAAATATTGAATTCGAGACAAAAAGTTTTGTCAACCAGCTGATGTTCCCCAATAAGTGTTCATCACCACTGAAAATCCTAAAACCTCAAGTTGATCACAAATACCTCAAAGGCTTATCGCAGTTAATTTTCAACTTGATCACCTGCAAAGCCTCTTAATATGGCTAACGCTAAACCATCTTCGTCTCCAGAAATGAGCTGCAAGTTAAGGTGTTTGTATAACTTACCAAACTAGTTTTAGCGGTTTTTTTCCATTTCAAACGCCTTTCTACGTTAATAATGTATTAGCTCCTCTAATGACGAAGTAAAAAATACACGAGTCGATAAAACAGGTTTGAAATCCCTTTAGTCATAACCCCTTTTGGACTAACAGCTGGTTGAACAGCCACTTTTCTCATCCCGTCATACAAAATATAAAATAATATAAACGCAAGCAACCTTAAATAAATCATATCTTTTCGAGAGTCCGGTATGGATAGATCAGCGAGTAATCTCAAATACCGAAATGAACTATCAAAACTGTTTCTAAGTTATATGTTGTTTGTTTGTTTGTTTGTTTGTTGTTGTCGTTGTTTCGTATATCTTTGTCGTCACAAGTTTAGTTTTTGAGATCATTCAGCGTCTAAAAAATAAAAGGTATGCTTGAGCTGGAGATGCACAAGAGATAAGAGGAAAAGGATTAAAACATTTCTTCTAAACTAGAAACCTTGAAATGAAAAAGAAATTTCAGATTAAAAGATGAAAAAAGAAACTTGTTTCTAATTTTCTGCAGGTCGACACCGAGGTAAAATTTAAGAGAAAAAACGTTTAAGTGAAAAGCGAGTGCTTTTAAGCATTTCATTAGTTGGTTGGCCAAATAATTTCTGTGATGCTGTAGTATGATTTTAAATCTGTGATTTTCTCAACTTTTGAATGACTTTGCAACTTTGTAAAGGTAAGTAAAACCGATTAATTGTTCTCAGAAATATGGCTTCCAGAATGCGAAAATAAGTGAAATAGGCTTGTAGAAAAACAGACACGAACTTGTGAAACACCTTGTACACGAATATCCAGCTCAAACATCCTTCAGTGATTCAAGTCCAGGTCAACTCCAAGTGTAAATGAGTCTGAAGCTACTTTTGATGACTGTCAGCGAACTGAGCCTCCGGAAAGCCAGGACTGGGAACCTAAGGACGTCACAGAAAAAGGGAAATAAGGACTCACTAAGAAAGAAATGTCATGGCCGGCAAAGTTGAAAAATTCTCACTTGCATGGCAAGGTTTAAGATGTCATAACAATAACTTTGTATTTAAGTCACAAAAAAAGACCAATCGTACAAACAAAGAAGGATAAATCATTTTGGGAAAAGTTATAATCTAGATATTTTCACTGCTCACAAAACTCGAGGGACCTTTCAGGAGTTATCCAGAGAGTACTAAGGGCCGGGGGTAGAATTTATCCTCAGTATCTATCCCTAATATGTATCCTCGGAAACAGCTTATCTACGTACCAGTCTCATCTAGAATTGTCCCGTGGTTCTCCTTTCGTTTCTCGTGCGACAATTGTAGGGGACCCTGGACTAAAGAGTGCACGTCATAAGTCACGCTATCACTCAGTTCACGTTTTCCTCGGCCACTTAAGGGACATTTCATTGAGCATTTGGAGCGTGGGTCAGTTGCACTGCATACAGTCACATGGCAGTGGACGAAAACAAAGGGATGAGCAGCGATGAACTTGAAGGCTTCCACGCTAAACCGCTGAGCACTAGAAGAAGGTGCTGAATGATATTTCACTGTTACGTCACTTGGGCAACTAAAGAGAAGAAATTTCTTTTATGAAGGTGAAATTATACCTACGAGTGTTCTTAACAAAGGTTTTTTAAACTTGCATTGCTGACTACCACTGAATTCAAGATAGCTGAGTGTATCTAATTTGCATATCACTAACTAATAGTTATTTACTTCTCGAGTCCAATAGAAGACAACGAGTCAAGATTATTGATTCCTTCTCTGACTGGTCGTATGTAAACGCTGGGATCCCACAAGGGACTAAATTGGGTCCGATACTATTTTTAGTTATGGTGAATGAGCTTACTCCAACCAGTTCATTCTGGAAGTACGTTGATGACCTAACCATTGCTGAAGTTCTACCTCGAGAAGGTTCATCAACTATCCAAACCACCCTGGATGATATATCCACCTGGTGTTCTTCAAATTACATGAAATTGAACCCAAAAAAGTGCAAAGAACTCAGAATATGCTTCCTACGTAACCCTCCCACTCTATCACAGTTGACTATTAATAACACCTCAATCGAAGTAGTAGAAAGTCACAAGCTCCTAGGAGTGCTCATTCAGGATGATCTAAAATGGCGTAGTCACATTCTTAGCATTACAAAGAAAGCTGCTCAGCGACTTTATATCCTTCGTGTCCTGCGCCGCAATGGCCTTCCACCCAAGGATTTACTTAGTGTCTATACTGCTCTAATACGTTCTGTTTTGGAGTACGCATGCCCGGTATGGCATTCTAGCCTTCCATCTTACCTTGTGGACAATTTAGAACAGATACAAAGAAGAGCTTTCAGGATAATCGAACCACTAATTTCTTACAGAACTGCATGTAATGTTTTGAATTACCCCACACTGGAAGAAAATAGGGAACGTCTTTGCCTCGAACAGTTCAAGAAAATTAAAAACTCACAGTTGTCATCATTAATTCCACAGAAAAGACTAGACGCACACGGCCGTCAGCTGCGCTCCAGCAATAACTTGACTCTTTTTAAATGTAGGACAAAACGATTTCAAATAAGTTTTTTTCCCGCAATGACGTCAAAGCTTAATGAATTATCGCAATAGACTTATATCACATTTGTAATAATTTGTTAATAGAATCTTGTGAGCCGGTAACCCAGTCCCCCGGCAAAATTTTTTATTTATATAGTCTCATTTAATTTGTAAATATTTTTTGTAATTTCTTGTAAATATGAAGTATTTCATTTTAGTGCCGAATTCATATCTAATAAACCATTACCATTACCATTACCAAGTGATCGCTGAATAAACTAAAAGAAAAAGTATGATTTTTCGAAGGGACTAGAAATTGAGAGTCCACAACAATCACCATTAGACATACCCTTTCTTTATAAACTCATATTTCAGAGAATTCTTTTGATCCTGGGTAGGCGTGGCATAACATTGATCCGCTCTGATTGACAGCTTTTTGTCATCTGTTGCCGT